GTCGTCCCTAGCGTTTCTGAACGGAGGAAGCAGACAGAGCGATGCCATTACAGCACGTCACAAAAGAGTTCAAGAGAACGACACCGCCAGTAGGATCCCACAGTCGGAAACAAGAATATATCCTTACCTAGATGGAAAGAGCAGGAGTTAGTTGATGAAGCCATAAAGTACCAATTCGATATTGTTGTACTCTCGTCTACGAAGCGCCACGGCTCCAAAATCCTGAACCTCGGTTGGTGGAAGCCATTCTACTCAGGCGCGCTCCGGCTGATGTTCTGGTAGAACCCAACCTCGCGGATAAAATCATTGATAGGAAGCCTATCAGCAGAAGGGTGGTAATCCTCCGACCGAAGCTACAACAGACTAAAGCGTTGATCTTGTTACACGTCTATACGCCCAATTTAGAAAGAAAATATGATTCTTTCCTTGAGGAAGCTGGCAGTGCTCCGTACGAAGTGCTGAATACGGAATCCCTCGTAGGTCAGAGTAGAGGCTGCAAAGTGGAAAGGCCTGATTCGAAGGAACGGTCCTGGAAACCTCAGCAACAATGACTGAAGTTGTTGCGGTTTTGTGCAAACAACGGATTGTCCATTATGAACACCTTCGAGCATCTAAGTCTGCATCAGCGTTTGTGGTACAAAGAAGTTTCTACCCAGAAGCTGATGATCGAATTGATAATCAAATCTTCTGACTTAAGGCGTTCAGTAATGGATGCTCGGGCTAAGAGAGGCGCAGACCTATCAATCGATCGTCACCTTGTTGTTGGTAGCCTACACTGTAAAAAATGTAGTACCATGCGAAGATATGGCGGCAGAAGCAACCAGATAATCAAATTGGAAACAATATCATCGGTGGATACGAGGAAGAAAATTGCAAACATCACATGACGGTTTGAACAGATCCCGGTAATGACCGCTCATGTGGACACCGAGTGGGAGCTCTTTGAGAGGGGCACACTCGAGGCAGCCGCTGAATGCTGCAGATTTAAAAGGGTTGGCCTGCAGCCTGCAGGTCAGAAAAGATCTATGTGGC